AGTAATGAAAAGTTTTTATGCTAATAATGGAATCATTAATTCACCTTTGTGGAATTTGTGACTGTGGCTCATTTAAAACCCAGATTATATAAATAAAACCATTATGACTCAGGCAGTCCACTAGGAAGGACAGGCAGCTATAACACGGACTTTAACCAAATGAAAGCAAAGAATAAAATTATTAATATTTTCCATATTAAATTCTGAAAATAATGTTGCTCTGCTGGGCCGGTGTGGTTCAATGGTTGAGCATCAACCTATGAGCCAGGTCACAGTTCAATTCCCCGGTTGCAGGCTTGGTCCCCAGGAGGAGGCATGCAGGCAGTAGCCAATCAATGATTCTCACTCATCATTGATGTTTCTAACTCCCTCTCCCTTCCTCTCTGAAATCAATAAAAAAAATATATTAAATAAATAAATAAAAATAATAATAATAAATAAAATAATGCTGCTCTGATGGATCAAACCAAGGGAATGAAGCCTGAAATTCTTCTGAGATACTGACATTTTAAATTCTGTTATCCTATGGATTGCGATTGTGTTTTATAGCAGAAACAGAATGATTTGGAAGCACACGTCTAGGAAATGAAGGTTGCATATCCTATTGTGATGAGAATATTTTAATAGCAATAAGGATATTATGGATCCCAACTTAGTAGAAAAACAAAGAAAGAAGTCTAAAGAAAACTGAATGGGAAAGAAGTCTCTCTCATCTCGCCACACAAATCCTGCTGGATGGAAGATGGGAGGACAGAGCTGGGCAGATCAATTCCTTTTTCTCCCCTGGGACTTCTCTGAGCTGCGGTTCCTGCACACATCCTTCTGAGCTACTGCTGCTCTTCCTCACAGCTTAGCATGAAACAGAAACCAGCACAGCCCATCTGAAGAGGACAGGGTGAAAACCTGCAAAAGCCCACACTCTCCCCTCTCAACACCCTTCTTGGTAGCAATAAACTAATTGCACAAATCTTGAAAATGTTGAGCTTTTAATGAATTGGATTCAACAATCAATTGGAAATGATTAATTTTTTTAAACTTTTTTTTACAGAGGCACTCTGCGTATTACAATTTGCCACTGAAAGAATCAAAGGATGCCCATGATATGTGATTGAATGAAAAGTAAGACAGCAAATCAAGAATGAAAGTTCTCTTATACAAAGAGAGGGAAGAGGAGGAGAATCCTTTCACGTTTCCAGTGCTCAGAGGGAAAAGTAATTTTTCAAGAATATGAATTATGCCACAAATACAATATAGAATTAGTACGGGGCAGCAAGTAGGGTGTTAACCAGAATACCATGTATGCTAGGCAGAACTTGGTTCACTCTGTCCACAAATAAGCAAATATTGACTAATTAATACATGCAAAGAATTGGGCTGAGCATTATCCTCCTTGGAGGACACAGATCCATGTCTTTATATTGTCAAATCATAAATCCAAAGAGATTTTGTTTGTTTAAAATTATGAAAACTAAGGAGAACAGTAGCATATTTCTACAAAGATAAGGAGGCATAATAAAATGCACTGGACTCCAATAATTAATGAGACAGAACAAACAGCAGTAGGCACAAGCAACAGCGGGGAGTTTATTTTTAGCTCAAACATTAGGCAACGTCATTACAAGCACGATTAAGTCTAGCAATAAGCTGCCAACACGATTGAAAAATTGCCATCACTGGAGAGATGCAAGACTGCACCAAGGGACACAAGGCAAGGACAGCCGGAGGATAACTAGATCAGGCCTTCGAGGGTTAGAGGGACTGATGGCCACAAAGGCCATGTAGACATTGCTCACACTCTCTCCACAAATCTAGATTCTAAAAAGCATTCACCTGAAATTATCATCCAAATCTCAACTGCTCATCCCGGAAGCAATGCTATGGAGTTATGCCTTGCACATACAATACTAATAATTGTAGCAATCTATAACACTAATCAGATATATAATACTAATATAACATATATAATAGGACTCTTTTGAAAGTACAGACATAGCAATATAGTAATAGATATCTAATAGCCAAATTTTAGGAAAAGCAATTACAATAATTAGAAATACAATCATATAAAATTTTTTCTATTGCTGTTTTGCTTTGAGATGGTAAGTGAGCCAAACTACAAACCACATAGTCACTTGAGAGTACCAAATTTCACCAAAAGCAGTCAACTTCTTGAATGTTATTTCAGAATAGGTAGGTAAATATCAAATGCTCTGCTTACATCATACAGAAATCTCCCTGTAGAAAATGGTATTATCAAATGAAAACAGCAGGTTATGAAGAATCATGATCCCACTGACATATAATTATCAACACATACATAGTGAGATGGCTGAAGAGTGGCCATCTAATGTCAATAGTGGGAATATCTGGGTAGTGAAATTTTGGATAATTTTACTTTCGGCTGTATAGCATTTGTGTGGTTGTTCTATCAGAACAAAACTATAAACCTCAGGACCCAGACTACTGGATGCAAATTTCAGCTTTATACCGTATTGACTGTGTGACCCTGAGTAAGTTACTTAACCTCTCTATGCCTCTGTGACCTCACCTGTGAATGGGGATAGAAACAGCCCCTGCCTCAGAGTGCTGTGAGAGCACTAATGTGTTAGCACAGAAGGCACTCAGAATAGTGCATGGAATACATACAGCAAGCCCTCAGGACACAGCAGCCAGTCGTAGAAGCAGCAGTCCTGCTAATATTAAACCAGCTATTTGTAAAACAGACTTATTACATTCATTAAAAGCAGCTGCAAAAGCAACTATTTCATGGCCAAAAGTAAAAAGGGGAAGCAAGAAAATTCCACTGTTTAAGTTTCATTAACAACCAAAACCCCAAAAAACTAGCAGAACAGCTACAAAGAACACAAAAGTATGTAACGAAGATGTCTCTAAGAAGACACGTTTTCCTTCAATCCGCCCCCCTCATTTCAGGAGTCAGCGTGCACAGCTGACTAACAGAGTTGAAGAGGTGTTTCAGGCAGTGGCTTCATGTATGCAAGCCTGTCCTTTTAATTTAGTAGCAAAATAGAAGACATTCTAATGAGGTTAGCATTTGTAGGCCAGAAGATTTGTCCTAATTTTCTTTTTTTTTTAAAGAGATTTTTTAAAGGTTTTAATCTATAAACGCTGGAAAGTTAGTTTTAAATGAGGACTTATATAAAATGAAAATTATAATAAACATACTCTTGTTTGTTAGAAGCTGATAATGAAAATGATGGGTTATCCCAGTGGTCGGCAAACTGCAGCTCGCAAGCCACATGCAGCTCTTTGGCCCCTTGAGTGTGGCTCTTCCACAAAATACCGACTTCTGCGCATGGGCCACGAAGTTTCAATCGCACTGTACGTGCACGCCCGCACGTGGTATTTTGTGGAAGAGTCACACTCAAGGGGCCAAAGAGCCGCATGTGGCTCTCGAGCCGCAGTTTGCTGACCACTGGGTTATCCTAAACCCTGGATTCTCTTCCTTTGAGGGAGAGAGACAATAAACAGAATAAGTGTGCTGGCCAGGTGGATCAGTGGTTGGAGTGTTGTCCCGTACACCAAAAGGTTGCAGATTTAATCCCCAGTCAGGGCACGTACAGGGGGTAACCAATTGATGTTTCTCTCTTTCTCTCTTCCTCCCTCCTTGCCTCCCTTCCTCTCTCTTGAAAACAATTAAAAAATATATCCTTTGCTGAGGATAAAAAATATACATAATATATATAAAATAAATGAATAATTAAGTGAATTAAATAGTATATTAGAAGGTGGTGAGAGCTATAGAAGGCGGGAAAAGGAGGGAAGTGTTGACATTTTAAATGGGGTAGGTAGAGAAGCTGACCTTTGTGTTTGGATCAGACAAGGGAAAGTTCAACCTATCTTACTCCATAATTATTTGCTCTGAGGAAAGTTTTAATCAGCTGAAAACTCTCAGTTAAGACAAGATATTGGTTATCCCTGTGCTTCATTTACCCTGACCACCCCTTTCAACTTTGATAATATACAATCTAGTTATTACACAAATTCTGTTATAGACACCGTGTGTTGGTGTCTACTATTTCACTTTTTAAAATCTAAAAGACATGAGCTTCTTAAATAATCTTTTCCATAAATATTTTCAGCAAATAAAAAGAATTAAGAATTAGAGAGGAGTCATCTACTGTTCTAGTAACCCAATGTCTATTCCCCCATTTTCCAGTAAGAGAACCCAGACTTTCTTTGGGGAACTAAGCCTATCTGACTTGCAGCCAATGTGATTCAGATGGAGCTGATAGCTGTGGGGTAAGGATATTACCTGGTGCTACTAGTAGGAGTACCAACCTTCCTCCCCCACCCCCCAACTCTGTACAGCATCAAGTTCAAGAGTGAGCACGTGACCCAAATGACCAAAGAGAACCCTCAGGTACCAAGACATAGGGTGCAACTCTTGGGAAAGAAGTGCTTTCCTTCACTAGGATGCTAAGGTGTCAAAATGCAGGCAGAGTTGCTTGCCACCCTTAGTGAAGGAAAGAAAAGGGTCTGCCTTATGAAGCTAATCTAGAGGTAAGCCTAGCAAAGAAAAGGAATAGAGTTGGGTGCCTCTGACAATACATTGAAGGACTTGAACTCAGCCCTGCCTTCAAATAGGCACCCCCCTTACATTTTTCTCATAGCTAAAGAGTACATTTCCTTTTTTGTTTTAATCATTTCCAGCTGGGTTTCTGTCACTTGCAACCACTAGAGCAGCCATGGGCAAACTACAGCCCGCGGGCGGGATCCAGCCCGTTTGAAATGAATAAAACTAAAAAAAAAAAAGACCGTACCCTTTTATGTAATGATGTTTACTTTGAATTTATATTAGTTCACACAAACACTCCATCCATGCTTTTGTTCCGGCCCTCCGGTCCAGTTTAAGAACCCATTGTGGCCCTCGAGTCAAAAAGTTTGCCCACCCCTGCACTAGAGTCTTGCCAAATACAAAGAACCCTTCAGAAAGTGATCTTAGTATTTTCTTTTGAAAGTCAACAACAAGGTATCCTTACCCGTTCCTGACCAGCAGTATCCCAGATGAGGAATTTGTGAAGTTCATTTCCACAAGGCACAGTTTTGGTCATAAAAGATGCCCTGAAAAAACAGAATCAACATCTCCACATTACCAGTTATCCTCTACAATCTTCAAAAAGACTTCTGTTTCAAACAAGTTAACATTATGCCTCGTTTTATTTAACATTAAAGATCCACATCATCTTTGTCCTTGAAGGGCCACTAAGAGGAAAGGAGGGCTATTAGGATTCTGTCACCCAAAAGAAAACAGTCTACATTTTCTGTTAGTCCAGCTGGAGGTTTTAGAAGAGGAAAAAAGGCAAAGAATGTATTCAAAATACTGTTTTCAAAAACATTTATCATCAGGTGTTCTGAGACAAGATGCCCAAGATCATAAAAGCAAATGAAACTGTAGATTTTAAAAACTTATTATAACAATTAAGAGTGGAAGGACATCTGGTATTTGAACATTTTCCAGTTTGGGCCTTGCAATGGCACAAGTTAAAAAAATTGCCTTGCCCTGGCCTATGTGGCTCCGTTGGTTAGGTGTTGTCCCATGAAGCAAAAGGCTGCTGGTTGAATTCCTGGTCAGGGCACATACCTGGGTTGTGGGTTGATCCCTGGTAAGGGGATTATAGGAGGCAGCCAATCAATGTTCTGCTCTCACATCAATGTTTCCCTCTCTCCCTCTTCCTTCTCTCTCTCTCCATAAAAATATCAATAAAAATATTTTTTAAATAATTATCTTACATCTTTACCTTGCTATGAATCTCACACTAGCAGCACCAAAAAGAATACCATCTTATTCCCATCCTACTTGCATACATGCAGGGATAAAGATGGATAGTTTAATATATAGTTATGCTTTCTCAACAAAAAAAGGAAGAATTTGAAATTCTCAGTAGATAATGAAACACTTGGCATTTTCTTTTTGCATATTTTCTTTTTTATTTCCAGTATTTATAGTTTTATTTAATTTAAATCTATTTTTATGTTATTTATTTTCTATCACCATTTACTCCCCATATACACTCTTCCACCTCCACTTATCCCCCTCTACCTCCTGCAGTTACCACGCTGTAACCTGTGTTCATGAGTTCTTTTTCTTTTTGTATATTTTCTCTTAATAAGCTTTTTCATTGTGCTCATGAAAGATGTAAAAATCTAAACAAGAAATGTTTAATACCCTTGACTTCTTTGTGAAAGATAAAGTTTCTCCTTCATTAAAAAATAGCAAGCATCCCCAATAGTGGGACAACCAGACATGAGAAGCCTCCTACTGAGATGGAATAAGTACATACATCTCCTATACAGCGTTCTAGCCAAAAAATGTTTCATCTGAATTTAGCCATGAGGAAACAGTCAGGCAAATCCAGGATGTGGAAGATTTTATAAGGTAACTGGCCTGAATGCTTCAAATAAGTCCATATTATGAAAAGCAAACAAAACAGAAGGCATGGAGATTGTTCTAGAATCTAGATTAAGAAAGAAGAAAGCATAAAAATACTGGAGGAATCCACAGGCAGCAAAATCTCAGACATATGCCGAAGCAATTTCTTCACTGATACTGCTCCTAGGGCAATGGAAACTAAAGAGAAAATAAACAAATGGGACTACATCAAAATAAAAAGCTTTTGCACAGCAAAAGAAACCATCAACAAAACAACAAGAAAGCCCACTGCATGGGAGAACATATTTGCAAAGGTTATCACCAATAAGTGCGCTGGGTTTAATCTCCAACATTTACAGGGAACTCAATTTAACAAAAGGAAGATAAACAACCCAATCAAAAAATGGGAAACGGACCTAAATAGATACTTTCGAAAGAAGACAGACGGAAGGCCAAGAGACATATGAAAAGATGTTCAAAGTCACTAATCATCCGAGAGATGCACATCAAAACGACAACGTGGTGGTACCATCTATCTCACTCCTGTCAGAATGTCTATCATCAACAAATCAACAAACGAGGATTTGTTGGCAAGGATGTAGGGTGCTGGCGAGGATGTGGAGAAAAAGGAACCCTCGTGCACTGCTGGTGGGATTGCAGACTGGTGCAGCCACTGTGGACAACAGTATGGAGTTTCCTCAAAAAACTAAAAATAGAACTCCCATTTGACCCAGTGATCCCACTTCTAGGAATATATCCCAAGAAACTAGAAACACCAATCAGAAAGGATATATGCACCCCTATGTTCATAGCAGCACAATTCACCATAGCTAAGATTTGGAAACAGCCTAAGTGCCCATCAGTAGATGAGTGGATTAAAAAACTGTGGTACATCTACACAATGGAATACTATGCTGTGGTAAAAAAGGAGTTCTTACCATTTGCAACAGCATGGATGGAACTGGAGAGCATTATGCTAAGTGAAATAAGCCAGTCAGAGAAAGATAAATATCACATGATCTCACTCATTTATGGAATATAATGAGCAACATAAACTGATGAACAAAAACAGATCCAGAGACAGAGAAGCATCGATTAGACTGTCAAACCTCAGAGGGAAGGTAGGGGAGGATGGGGGTAAGGGGGAGAGATCAACCAAAGGACTTATATGCAAGCATATAGGCCTAACCAATGGACACAGACAACAGGGGGGTGAGGGCATGAGTGGGGGGGATGGGGGGTAATGTGGGGATAAGGACACATATGTAATAACTTAATAAAAAAGAAAAAGAAAAAAAAAAGAAGATAGCAATAAAACAACCAAATACACTCACTATATGGACCTTGACTGGATCCTGGATTAGGAGATAAAACAGCTTTAAAAGATATTTTGGGGTCAACTGGAGGAATTTAAATTTAGACTATATGTCAGATATTACCATTGAATCAAAATTAAGTTTCTGGGTATGAATAATGTTCTTATTCTTAGGTAAGATTACGTTCTTATTCTTAGGAGATGCATACTAGAGTTTTTAGGGGTAGTGCCAGGATGTCTTCCTTCTCTTTCATATGGCCAAGCTGGCCCACCAAGGCCAGTACAGAGTCCAGCCCTGCATTCACGCAGCACTCATCCCAGTAATATTTCCTCAACTTCCACTTTACCCTAAGACAAATGAGAATTCCCAAGGAGAAAAGTATAAATTCCTGTAATTCCCTCATTATTCTCACAACATACATATACGCACCCTGGATTAATAGAGAGTTCTAATTATCATGCGTATTTTTCTTATGTGATATGATGAAATATTATCAAAACAACTTCTGTCCCATGACATTTCATTTCTTTAAAAGTGTTCAAAATACATCCCAAACTACTGATAAGAGCAAAAATAATTCAAAAATGGAAATATCTCTATTACTTTTCTCATTACAAGAGCAATATATGTACTTTGCTAAAAAAAGAAAATAAAAATCAATTGTCCATCTCACCACCTATCCACAATCATTACTAATTAGTTGGTATATATCCTTGCAGATTATTTTTATACAACTTTTACCCCCAAATTGATCATAAATTTTGTTTCTTCTCTACTTTACATATCATGAACATCTTTCTGTTTCTATAATACAAATGAATATCATTATCTAAATGATGTTATAACCACGTTATAAATTTATTCACTACTCCATTGATAGACATTTTGGTCACCTATTTTCATTATTACGACAATAATTAAATGAATATCCTTGTACCTAGATCTGTGGATCCTTGTACAACTATTTCTTTGGAGTTAATTCTTAGAAGCTCTACTTTGCTGTGGATTATACCAACCTACACGTCCATGGCAATGTATGGGACCATCTTCTCCCCGACCAATACTAATCCTTCAAATCTTTTCCAGTATGACAGGTAGAAAATGCATCATAGTCCTATTTTTATCATGCTTATTAGAGGTTTGAACATCATTTTAGTGTTTATTAACCACTTGTACTTTTCTTTTGTATCTTTAGTTCATGACCTTTGCCCACTTTTCAGTTGGGGTGCTCATCCATTTCTTATGCTGTTTTAGTATTTTATACTAATCTTTGTAATAGTATCCTTAAAAAATATTTTTTGCAGTTTAATCTTTGCCCTTTAACTTTGTTTATGGAATTTTTGCCATAAATGCCTTTAATTTTTTACAATATAATTTTTATTGATTTCAGAGAGGAAGGGAGAGGGAGATAGAGGTAGAAACATCAATGATGAGAGAGAATCATTGATTGGCTGCCTCCTGCATGCCCCCTACTGAAGATCAAGCCTGCAACCCAGGCATGTGCCCTTGATCGGAATTGAACCTGGGACCCTTTAGTCCACAGGCAGACACTCTATCCACTGAGCCAAACCGGCGAGGGCATAAATGCCTTTTAAACTGTTATGTAGACCAAGCATGTCAAACTCAAAGGCTAACATGGGCCAAATAAACAAGGTTTAAGTTTATGTGGGCCACAAAAAAACAAAAGCTTCAATTTTCATAGAAATGTAGGTTTATTTCAATAGAGACATGATGAATACAAAGGGCTGAAATAAGTGAGTCATTAACATATGAATACAAAGGGCTGAAATAAGTGAGTAATCATTAACATAAAATAGAACATTTTAATAAAAATTAATATTTTTTCTTGAACATTAACATACCAGACACTGAATAACTGCACAAATTAATAAGCGTAATGCAAATAAACCTATTTTTCTTGTTCTCTGAAACGGAAATATTTCCTATTGCGCACACCAAACAAGTCAGTCCAAGACTAATGATGTGGCAATCGGCTACTAAAATATTCGCTGCTAGTATTAGTGGAGAGAAATGGTGCACCTGCACGTAAGGCATGTTATGGAAATGAATGTAACATGATTATAGTAATCAGTCATTAGCGAACGTTGTAGTTCGTTACTAATAATTATGTATAACAGGATAGTGTAAAAATTAAGTTACGAGATTTTTATTAAAACGTTTCTTACATACTGTTATATTAGCTGGGCCACAGAAGTATTTATTGTAGGCCGCATGCGGCCCACAGGCCGTGAGTTTGACATGCTTGATGTAGACAGCTATATCAATATTCTGTTTTTGTATTTATTTTTGTTTTTACTCTGATATAAGGAAGATTTGCACTCATTCCTTAATATGTCCTAAGCAACAGGATAAAT